GGAAGTATATTGGCAATAGATTGTAGCCCTCCAATAATATGGCGCTAAGAAAGGGGAGAAACTAACATTTATCCAGAATCCAATATGTACCAGCATTTTGCTTGATGCTTTATTGTGAAAAATATATAAAAAATATACATTTAACTAGGATGAATAATCCTTGTTGTATTTTAGGTTATATCCTTTGGATAGATTTTTCTAAGTATTCTTACCAGTAGGAATATTAGAATCAAAAATAATTTATTATTTCCAGTGTTCTTACCTATACTGTCATGAAATCGGACGATAATTTCCCAGAACTTGGGGGAATTGAAAGTGTGACTTCCCCTTCTATTAGATATAAATAAGAGCATAAGAAAAACCACATCGTTTGAGAGAAACAGCTAATTTTTCTCTTCAATTCATTGCATTACCTCAACGATGTAGTGATCATTGATCAACAGAATAACAAAGATGAAAAATTAAAATGGCATATTATATAAAAGGAGAGTAAGGTGATATGCTTTTTCTTGTTTGCCAGTCCATTTGTTAATAAGTAGTTGTCAGTATACTGCACACACAGCTTGCTTTTGTTAGCTTTACTTCAAAAACCAGTAATAAGTATGATAGCTTTGTAGAATTCTGTCTTTATCCAAATGCTTGGAGAAGAAATTGAATAGATATGAAAGATAATTCTTTATGACTTTCATTAGTGTTACTTCTAAACAAATAACAATATTCACCAATATAGTATTTACAGTAAATAAGATAGCTATTAGACCCTATTATGAATTATTAAATAAATATAAACAGAAAATTAAGCATTTTCCAAACAACTTTATCATAAGCAGGGATGAAAGCTGCTTGTGTCTAAAAGCACCCTCCTTCTTCCATTTAGGTTTTGGTAGATATTAATTTGTTAAAGCGATGTAAAGCATAATTCATTCCACAACTTGTCTTTGCATGCATTTTTATATGTTCGGAGACAAATAATGTATTCTAATATAGGAGTCGGCAAACAATAGCTCTATGGTCTGTTTCGTACCTGTGAACTTAGAATGGTCTTTTAAAAAGAAAAGAATATGCAGCAGAAATTATATGTGGCCCTCAAAGCCTAAACTATTTGCTATCTGGTTCTTTACAGAAAAAGTTTATCAACTCTGAAATATAAATACATAAAACATAAGCTTGGGAAGTTCCAGTTCCAGGTGAGATGGTATAATCACATGATACCCCATCTCTCCCACAAATACAGCTATTATAAAACCAGACAGAATACATGAAGCAGCTATTTGAAGACTTTGAAAAGTAAATAGTGGCAGGCGAATAAGGAAAGACCAGAATTTGAAGTACCACCAAACTGGCAGTGAGTTTGCCGTTTTTCCCATGTTGTCACGTCCTGTTCTTAGCATAGCCTGAAACCAGGAAGTAGACATCAGTGCAGGCAGCGGGGAGCTCCAGGAGAAGCCCTCTACTTTAGGCTTGAGAAGTAGAGACCGTAGCTTCTAGCAGTGGCAGTGAGTGCAGAGGAGAATGCAGATATCTAAAACTTCGAGTAGGGGGAGCCTTCCTTTCTGATTGAGGAATCTGTGGTCATAAGAAGGTGGCGCATGCTGCTTTTGCTTTTTTTCCTCTGTTGGACCCTACTACAGAAACAGTTGCACAAAGTAAGTGGCAAAATGAGGTAAATAAAACCCCAGCTTTTGGGCAGAGTGCCAAAACGGAAAGCCTCCAGGAACCAGAAAGTACTGGGGAGATCAAGGAGAGAGGGGAACTTGGGAAAGGAACCTATAAAATAGTATAGGTCTTGGGAGACATGAATGGTAGTATATCTGTAATACTTAGAATGGAGCTTGACTAAGAGTTAAACCCAATAAACAGTTGCTTAATCAATGATTACTTTCCTAATATTGTATAGGAGACACACAGATTATCTTTCTTTTCTTGGTTTAGACTGTTAGGAGTCATGGAGATTAAGAGTATTGGCTCATTTTTAGAAACCATATGCTAGGCCACTCTTTACTTCATCTTAGAACATTGCACTTGGGATTTTGGAGGTCAGATGTTCTAACAAATGCTTATCCAAAGTAGTAGTCCTATCTGTAGTTTTTATTTAGAGATGATCAGTCATCTAGAGGTTATCAGTACATTTACAGTGACAGAAGCTAGCCACTTTAGGAAGATCATATGATTGTTTAATAATCATGTATATATACTTTGCTATTTTTGTTTAGTTCTGTCCTTTCTAAAAAAATTAAGTTGAATCCTTTTTCCACATTGTAGCTCTTAGTCCCCCAAAATATTCGAATAGACTTACTTCTGTACTGGCAATTCTCAGTGTGCCCCAGATATCTCTTTTAACTGACACACTTTCCTCAAGAGCCTTTGTTCTCTCTTCCCCTTTCTTTTAACCAAAGAATCCATGAAGATGTAGGCTAATTTTTTTTTGTGTGCCTGTGTGCATTTTTCTGGAACAAGGTTTGATAACCTGAAAAACATTTAAGAATCACTGCCTTAGACACGTTCATGACTACAATTTGCCCTGCATACATCTGAATCTCAAAGGGACAAAAATGGTTAAGAACCCCTGTTTTTTAGTTTTCTCATTATGGTAGAAAGTGATTGAAGACAAAAGTTAGGAATTGCATGGAAAGAGGAAAATGTGACAGTTCAAACAAAGAAATAGACATAGAGTTCACCTGTATCCAGTGACCCACCACCCTGATATCTTTGGTAAGTCTTCCATGTAGTCGTCTTAAGGTATTATTTCTGACATAATAAAGGATGTTAAGCAGAAGGTAGGATTTATTAAAGCAGTCTTTTCTTGAAAATATCTCTGCTACAGAATGAGGAATAACTATTTCTGCAGTGGATAATCCCTTTAGCTAAACATAGTATTGTGACTAGTATATATTCAAATACACACATGTATGCACACACAAATATGGTGTTTAACATAATTCGATATCCCCTTCAAGGTCGACCGATCCCTGGTTTTGTTTTGTTTTTTTTCCCCCTGCTGTACCAAGTCTTATGCTTTGCTGTTGAGAACCTAACAGGTAACATTGTCTCCTCAAAATGGTCATCCTTGCCTTCATAAGACCACAAAACGTTCTTGCATGGGAAAACACTATTGGAAATGCAGAGTAACTGAGATGTAGGTAGAGAAACTTGCAAATGCTGCTTTCATGAATTATCTTTAGATCAGTATCTGCCCCCCAAAATTCTCATGCATCTATACATTTTGTTTTTGTGCATAGCTAGCTTGTCATCCACAGCCAATTAAGTAGTCAATTATGCCCATAAAAATATATAACAAAATTATAAAATATATAATTTTGCACAATATCTGAAAGAAAAAGTAAAATGAAATATTATGGCTATAAACATTTTAAACTTTAGTGGAAGACATAGTACTCATAGTAAAGATTAGAGGTAATATAATTTTGATAATATAATTTTTAAAATTATGTATTTTAAAACTTAATAAAATCATTAAAGTCAGTCTAATAAAGTTGCAGGGGAAGTAATTATTTTCCATTTCTAAAGCTGTGTTGTTATTTTAGCTTACTGTAGGAATGGCAGTATAAGTTCTCACAAAGTATAAAATAGTTATAACAATCTGCTAAGTTTAGTGTATATAGTATAATAGTATAGATTAATGTATTAAAAAGATATGTTGGACATCTTTTTCTTGTATCTCTTACTATCCCAAAGTTAAGGTAGGTATAGGTCTTTAACAGAAGGTAAAGGAATTTATTAGATGTGTAGTGGTTACTATCATCGATAATAAGGACACTTTGAGGTAAACTGAAGAATTAAGAAGGAAATGAAAGGAGACAGGAACACATGTTGATATCTTGGCTTTTTGTTTTGTTATGTTTTGTTTTTAACATAATAAATATAAGATGCCTTGTTTGCAGTGTACTGCTTACTTCAATGCAAATTAAAGTCTGTAAGGTCTGAGGACTTAGTGAGGTGAACTAAGCATTGCTTGATTTATTCCTTCCCAGAACTCTCACTTATAGATTGACATAAAGTGAAAATTCCTTCAATCATGGCCAAACCTTCTCATTTAGGGTTTGGTTTTGCATTACACGCAAGAGTGTGTTGAATAAATGATGATGAGAATAATTTTTTTCAGGAGGAATTCTCTTTATGCTAACATGGCACATTTCTCACAATGGTCTCAGAGTCATTGGAAAGTAGGAATCTTGTTTAAACTTGAACTCTCACTGTGTGAATTTTGCCCATTGTGCTGTTTTAAGTTTTATATGGATTTTAAGAAATTGATTCATTTGGCAAAGTGCAAAATTCTCTAAATGTTGGAATGTAATATCTGGTTTTAACTGGTATGTTTAAGAATAACAACATGTTTGAATTTGAATTATAAACGCAAGGACTTTCCAAAGCTGTGAGCTTGGTTTAGGAGTTTTATGAATAAGTCTCATTCATATATATATATTTTCTTACTGTAGTTTTTGCTAAATAGCAAGATAATTGTTATTCCATATTTAGTGTGTTAGTATAACATCCTAAAAATGTCTCTGTGTTAGATATGTGTTGTCTGAATGTGTGTAGTCAAGTAGTTTTATTTTAGATCTAGAAAGCATTAATTTCTAAACATTTTCTTACTTTCCTTTAAAAGTAAATCAACAAATAACTTCAAGAGAAAATATCACTGCTTCCTTCAGGGTAGGGATGAAGTGTGGTGTGGTATATTCTGACCCAGGATATGCTTTGGGGAAATTACTTGGAAATCGAGTGGAACAACTTCAAAATATTTTGCTGTAATATGTTCTGTAAGGCAATTAACTCTTGCCATTTAAAGACATGTAAATGTAGCATTCTAAAAGAAGAGTTATAGAAAGTTTTTCTTTCACAGTAGAGTCTCTTAATAGGTAATTTATTTTAATTAAATATGTGAGAACACTGCCTAGAGTAAATACTGATACAGTTACCAAAATTTTTACTGTCTTCTCACTTTCACATCATTAATGTTATATACCCTTTCTTTTCAGCTAGATATGTCAAGTGACCAGATAGCTGCCAATTTGCAAGCAGTTATCAATGAAGTTTGTAGGCACAGACCGCTGAATTTGGGTAAGTGGTTTGCTGGGTAGACTTCCTGATAGCCCTGTGATACTTTTAAAATATTAAGAAAACAATCAAGTCAACATGCAACTACAATAGCAACAGTATTTCCAGGGATTAAATAAATAAAAGTGAATTCTCTGAAGGGTTCCTAATTATCTTATTTACAAGTGTAGTCGTTTAGAGAGACCTCTTTAACGTTAAGGAAATATTTTACTTCCTGAAACCTTTGTAAATTCCCACATTATTTTTACCATTAAATAAAATAAAGTTTGAAAGAAAATTGTAACCATGGTGCCTAAACTTACAATGGCATTAAATAGAAACTATATTTATGAAATAATATTGTGAAGCCAGACCATTCACTTTGTCACTGGCACTACCTTTCTTAATCTTATTTTTTTCCCCACACGGGGAGGTGTTACTAACTTAAATCGAAATTGTTAATTTTGTCTGCCAAGTCCTTAGTAAATATACCTTTATTTGATACAAACCTACAGGTTGTTCTTAATACCACAGGATCGTGAAGACTTGCAGTTATCGTTTTCTAATGATTAAAACAATGTTCAAATAATTAACAAGTTATTTCACTGAAATACCTGAATATTCTGGGGACTGTTTGAAAGCTCTGTTTATAGATAGTGATTGAAGAAAACACTTATTTGGTGTTGAAGAAAACACTTCTTACATAAAATTTTTAATACATTGCTCTACTAATGAGGCTAGTTATTAGATATATATTTCAACACAAAAGAGTGAAGCTTTATCTTCATATTTACTTTATTCATAGGACTCATATCAATGAAGAATGTTGTATCCAACAATAACAAACTGGCATATTGCAAGTGACATTCTGTAGAAGTGAAAAAGAAGAGGCTGCAATAGAAGAAACTAGATTTCTTCTGCATTACACATTCTTTACACAAATAGTCCATTTTCAGCAGTAGAATTAAATGCAGATCAAATGCTTTTAAAAGTTTTTGTGCCTAGGTGGCAATTACAGTCGTCACACACTTAAAGAGAAAAAGAACAATAATAATACAGAACACAGTATTTTTAACACTTAAAGCACATTTAACACTTTCAGCCGTCTACTGGGTTCTCAGATCCGATTGGCAACTGAAATTTCACATCCACCTGGGCTTGCATGGCTAAGGTACTGTTTCACAGAGCTTTATAACCATTTTAGCAGCTTCATCCAAATCATCACAAGCAAGAATTTCAAGTCCACTGTCTGTTATCAGTGCCTTAGCATCATCAACTTGTGTACCTTATAACCATACCACAATAGGTATTTTAATTTCCAGATCCTTTACTGCCATGACTATACCCTGTGCAATAACGTCACACCACATGATTTCTCCAAAAAAATGTTTACCAGAATAGCCAGTACCTTTTTATCTAAAGTGATAATCTTAAATGCTTCTGTTACTGATGGGTTGTAGTGCCACCACTAACATCAAGAAATTTGGCTGGAGTCTCCCCATGAAGTTTTATTATATCCATTGCGGCTATAGCCAAACCAGCGTCATTTACTAGACAGCTTATATACTCCATCTAGGCCAATGTAGTTGACATCTGCCTTAGCTACATCTTTGTCCCTTTCATATTCTTAGGTCTAGTCCTGTGGGTCAAGGATTTTCTTCTGGCGATAAGCTGAATTAGAATCAGAATTGATCTTTGCATCCATACATAGCACAGTTCAATCTGAATCTTCTACCATTGGATTTATTTCTACCAGGGTTGCATCATATTTCAGGAAAAGATTTTAAAGCTTGACCATGTTTTCTGCCACAGAATCCACAACATTAGGTGGAAAGTTGATTCTTGTCTTTGTTTCCAGGACCCTTTGTGGTACGAGCTTTTCTTCGAAGTTCGACTAGTGAAGGTTTGTTATTAAAGGTCGAGCCTTTGTTGCCTAAAGAAGTGGAAACCAAAGAAAGCAACCAAGAAGCTGCCTAAAAGTGTTGTGTTGTGAAATTATTTTTAGTGGATTAAGAAGCAACAGAGAAAATCATAAAACTGTATAATTTCTATGTTTGGTATCTTGTTATTTCTTGATCATCATGCTCAAAAGTGAATTTTCACACTGGAAAAATCTTACAACACTTTCAAAAATAAGAAAATAAAATTTTATCTGAGTCTACATTTTATATCCTGTTAAATCTTCTTCCTTATAGTTCAGATTCAACATGCTGGTAATTACAGCAGCAATTTCTAGCTTAATAACTTTCCATGGAGAGCCATACCATCTGAGGGAAAAGTAACATCTTCAGTCCTCATAAGACAGAGAATGGCAGAGTCATGAACTACATCACAAATATGACTATTTTCTAAAGAAAAATTATGGAAAATGTTCATTCTAAAAGATTCTGGATGTAACTTGTGATAACGAATATAGAATATGAGTGGGCAGGAAATCTTTGTTTTTCTCTTAGGAATCAATCTATAATGTTTGTATTTCTTAGTTTTATAGCGCTTTGCAATATACAAGGCACTGTGTGGTGTTTTCATATACTTAACCTCATTTGATTCTGAATTCTCTGCTAATAGCACGTAATAGGTTTGGTTAGTGTTTATTGAATGAACATGCCATGAGGTGGATAGAACAGCTTCATTTATGGATGAAGAATCAGGCTAAGAAGTTGTGTCTTTCATCAAGTGCCAGCTTACAAATTAGTATTGGTCCTTTAGTGTTTACTGGTATGTGACAAAATAATAATAATAAAATAATAATAATAATAATAATAATTTTGGCATTCAACTGCCAACTGTCCTTTCTTGGGAATGATTTCCTTATTCTGCGACTGTCTCCCATTTCTTTAGAGGATGTTTAAATGCCTTTTTTTATATGAAATAATAGTGCCGATAAATTTGTTGGTGAGTTTTAATAACACTCACTTTGTAAAGAATATTTTGACAGCTCCATATAGGCCTTCCACATTGTTTTTGAAATTTTAGTAATCTGGGAAGTCCAAATGACTGAACAACCACTATACCCCACTATGCTTTTTTCCCATAGGAAAATTAAAATTTAAAGGCTATTTACCAAAAACAACTGTAACATTAACTACAAAACTGTAACAGCAGTTAACTTCCATTACGGGCCTACTACTATCTTATGCTTTATATGCATCCTCTCTTTTCATCCTCACAGCAGTTTGGTGAGGAGGATGTTGTTCCCATCTTTCAGAAAAGGAAATTGAAACCAGTATGAGGTCCCATAAATGGCAAAGTGAGATTCAAAGCTGGATTTGTTTTTGAAGTCTGTTCTCTTAACTGTTAGACTATTTTACCTCCTTTTTAGATATTCTGAGGTAAACTGTTAAACTGAACACTTTAAAATTTTAAAATATTGAATAATTAAACTTCATTTTCTTAATATCTAATTATGAGGTTGTGGCATAGCCAATATGAAGAAAGTGGAAATAAAGGGTTGAAAGAAGTGGGATGAGAAAAGAGTAGAGCAGGATAGAGAGAAAAAGATACCTATTCGTTTCCCGTAATTACTATCTTTTTTTTTTATAATAATAATTTTTTTTATTTTTCAGTTATAGTTGGCATACAATACTATATTAGTTTCAGGTGTACAACATAGTTATTAGACATCTACATAACTCACAAAGTGATCACCCCAATAAATGTAGTGCCCTCTAACACCATACATAGTTATTACAATTTATTGGCTATATTCCTTATGCTATACTTCTATCTCCATGACTCTCGATAACTACCAATTTGTATATCTTAATCCCCTCTCCCGTTTTCACTGACCCCCTGAACCCCTCTCCTATCGGATAACCCTCAGAAGGCACTCTGTATCTGAGTTTGTTTGTTTGTTTGTTTGTTCATTTTGTTCTTTAGATTCTACATAAACATGCAATCATATGGCATTTTTCTCCCTCTATATGACTTACTCCACTCAACACGCTATCCTTTAGGTCCATTATGCAATATCTTTTCCCATCCCCTTTTAGTCTGTGAGTGACTTTTAATCTGAAATGAGTCTCTTGTAGGCAGCATATGTAAGGGTCTTGTTTTCTTAACCATTCAGCCACTCGCTCTGTTGATTCGAGCACTTAATTTTTCACTTGAAGTACTTATTAATAGATAAGTAATTGCCATTCTTTATTCATATTTTTGCAACATATTTTTTCTTCTTGAAGTCTCTCTCACATTTCCTGTAATGCTGGCTTGGTGATGATGAACTCCTTTAGCTTTGTCTTGTCTGGGAAGCTGTTTATCTGTCCTTCAACTCTAAATGATAGCTTTGCTGGATAAAGTAATCTTGGTTATAGATCCTGGGTTTTCATCACTTTGAATATTTTGTGCCAAGCCTTTCTGTCCTGCAAAGTTTCTTTTGAGAAATCAGCTGCCACTCTTAGGAGAGCTCCCTTGTAGGTAACTAATTGCTTTCTCTTGCTGCTTTTAAGATTCTCTCTTTGTATTTAACCTTTAGAATTTTAATAATGATGTGTCTTGGTGTGGGCCTCCATGGGTTCATCTTTTTGGGGACTTTCTGAGCTTCCTGGGGTTATATGTCTATTTCCTTCACCAGGTTAGGGAAGTTTGCCATCATTATCTTCAAATAGGTTTTCATCTTATTACTTTTCTTTCTCCTCCTGGTACCCCTATGATGTGAATCTTGTTACATTTGATGTTATCCAATAGGCTTTGTATCTTCATTATTTTGGATCTTTTTCTCTTGTTGCCGTTCTGATTGGGTGTCCTCTGCTACGCCGTCCTCTATATCGGTGATTTGATCCTCTGCTTCCTCCTCTCTGTTGATTCTCTCTAATATACTCTTCATCTCAGATATTTTATTCTTCATTTCTGACTGGTTCCCTTTTGTAATTTCCATTTCCATTTTTATATTTTTTATGTTTTTGTTAAAGTTCTTACTGAGTTCATCTACTCCTCTCTTAAGTTCGTTGAGCATCTTTATAACCAGTGTTTTAAACTCTTCATCTGGTATATTGCTTGTTTCCATTTTGGTGAATTCTTTTTCTGAAGCTTTGTTCTGTTCTTTCAAGTAGGACATGTTTTTTTGTCTCCCCATTTTGGCTGCCTCCCTCTATCTGTTTCTATGTGTTAGGTAGGGCTCCTAAGTCTCCCAATCTTAGTAGAGTGACTTTATGTAGTAGGTGTGCTATGGGGCCCCTTGGCACAGACCTGAGAGGGGCCCAGCTGCAGGACAAGTTCAGCTGCAGCCAGTGCACCTCCAGGGCTGCCTGGTAAGAGACACCAAGCAATCCACATGTGGTTGCCACCTATGCTGGTCTTTTAAGTGGCTCAAGGGATCAAGTCCAAAACCAAGGCCGGCTGCCACTAGTGCAGGGTTTGGGGCTGCTCAGCAAGAGGTACAGGGCATGTCGAGGCCAAATGTTGCCGCTTTTGTTTGTAATCCTTTGAGAGATTTTCTGAAAGTTCACAGATGGAGCCAGGACAGCCCATTTGTATGGAATAAAATCACTGGAAGCAGCTTCGATGGGCCCACAAGTTGGGAGAGGTGGAGTCTTAGGGAATCCCCTGGGTGGAGCGACCTGTGTTATATAGATTAATGGTGCCTGTGTCTGCAGACTGGGAGTGGGGAGGGCTCAACAGAGGAACAATGGCTTCTGCTTGCACCTCTGTCCAGGAGCCAGCCACCCCTCCAGCCCTTTCCCTGAAGCCCAACAGCTCAGTGCCTCCCATATGTTCCTGGTTCCCCTTGAGCAGTCTGTCAGCGAGTAAGGCCAGGCGTGGGCCCTTTAAGAGGAAAGTCTACGCTTCCCGCAGCACCCTGACTCACACAGCTACACTGCTGGTTTTCACAGCCAAAGGTTGTAGGGACTTCTCTTTCCAGCACTGGAACCCTGAGCTGGGGAGCCAGCTGGACTGGACTCTATGTTCCTCAGGTGGGGAGGGGGCTCCACAGCCAAGATAACCCTGCTGATTCTCGACCATCACTCTCTGTTGTGGGACCGGCCTTTTGGCGTCTCTGCCCTGCCTACCGTTTTGAGGTGACTTGTTATTTGAGGTGACCTAGTTGTAGGGCTTCTGTTCAGTCAGATCTCTGATGACTCCTTCGTACTGGTTGCTCTGTAGTTCTGTTATAATTTTAGTGTGGTTGCTAGAGGAGGCATGAACAGCCTTTGTCTTCTATGCCATCTTGAATCTCTCCCAATTACCATCTTTTGGAAGCTTACTAATTAATCGTATTTGAAGATCCTAACTCATACAGTAGAAGCTCTATTGTATTTGTAGCTTTTCTTTTCATTAATAGAGTAGGCATACTCATTATTGATAATTTTAGGAACACTAATATTTTATAAATCGCTGTTAATTCTACTCATAGATAACCAGCATTAATATTTTGATGCTTTCCAATGTCTTTTTTCAGTTGACAGGGAGAAAGAACATGTATACATGTGATCTTATAAAGCATTTCCCCATGGTAATTAAAATTTCATATAAAAAGCATCATTTTAATGGTTGAACAATATTCCATCCTGTTGATGCTCAAATTAATGGAATCATTTCCCAATTTGGGAACATTTAATTTGCTTAAGCCCCTCCCCCTCCATTATTTACAACACCTTAGAGAAAATCTTTGGATATAATTTATTTTCCTCTCTATTTCTAGAAGTGACATTCTGGGTTGAAAGGTATGATATGGCTAAAGGTGCCTTTTTGATCAGAACAAACCAGAACAAAGAAATATGATTGGAAAACTTGCTCTGGGCAAGAACATTCCAGGGTCTTATTAACTGGCCTATGAATAACTTATTTCCTGCCCTTAGAGCATTCCTTGCCTCCATTCGAGCATTCTTCCTATTGACTAACTAGAACTGAGTGTTTATAATGATACGCTTTGAGTGTTTATAATGATATGCTTCTGGAAAAGTAGTAGAATTGTATAGATTAGTCTTACTGTAAATCTCTTTTGTATTACTATTTTCTTCCTCTTAGCAATAAATTAAATCTTACATTTAAAAGAATAAAAACTTACAAATTTTTTAGTAAATGCTAGTGATTCTCAGACTAGTATGCATCCATATCACCTGGAGGGCTTGCAAGCACAAATTGCTGGATTCCAGTCAGCAGTCTGAGGTGGACCTTGAAAATTTACATTTCTAACAAGTTCCCAGGTGATGGTGATGCTGGTCCAGGGACCACACTTTGAGAACCACTGGTATCTGCTAATGGCTCTTTTAAACATGGACGGATAAAAACATCTCTGGCTTTGGTACCAGTGTCACTTTATTTAAAAGTTTAACAGGTAATTCTGATACATTAGGGTTGAGAATCATTAGTATATTCAATTACCCAACTTATAATATACGTAAAATTTGCAATAAAAGTCAAGATTTTAAATGACTGAGATGACAGAAAGATAAAACTATATTTAAGAGCCAGGACTAGTTTCTAGCTTTCTGGTTTATCCCTATGTGTAAATAATGTAGAGTCCGGGTTCTAACTATGGAGAAACAATTCAAAATCTGGGATCTTCTGTAAAACAAGGACTTAAGATGATCACCAGTGTACTTTCTAACATAAATTTTATGATACACCTTTTGCAGATGGCATTTCACACTGTTAGAAGTGATGTAAGATAACTTTATTAACATTACTAATATAAACACATATAAACATACATTTAATGGTGTTAGCATTATCTTGTTAAAGACCAAATGCTTGGGGTAGGACAGGGGAACCTATTCAGTAGTGGGTTTTTTCATATAGTAAGTAGTTAATCACAGTGTCCAGTAGGTGGCAATAATAACCTTTCGTACAATTTTAAAATAGTCAACATTGATAAATAATTATTTTCTTCACTTGTCTATATAAATAAAATAGTAAAAATACTTTATAGACCACTTGGAGCTTTGTTTTGAAGTGAATATTTTTTTGTTTTTCTATTTTGGGCATGTTACAGAAGTTGCTTTAGGTGTCACTAAAATAATGCATACTGCAAATTTTTTATGTTTTAACTTTTATAGAATTTTTCAAATATACAGAAAATTTAAAAAATAAAATAACACCAATTTACTCACCACCCAGCTTCAGCAATTATCAACATCATGCTGTTGTTCTAGTTGCTTCTATCCTAGTCCTCATCTCTGCTAGAGTAATTAAAAGCAAATCCTGTATATCATATCACTTAACCTATAGAGCTTTAAGAATAATCAGACTATTATTATAAAAGAAGATTGTAGGTCCAGTTTTCAGAACTTTGATTTTTTTTTGTATTCTATTCTGACCATTGAGAGCATTTAGTTTTTTTTGGATTAATTTTTTCATATAATTATGAACAAAACATAAAATATTTGTAGTGCTCTAAGAACTTACAGAACATAGGAACATAATCAGCCACATAAAATTGTATAAAATAACAGTACTTTTAAAAATAAGAAGGAAATTGGTATTATCACTTAAATTTAAAAAAATAGAAATTTAACTAATAATAGATTGAGATAACATTCAATTTTTATTTGAAGGTATCCAAAGGAATTAAAGTTTTACTGTATTGTTTTATTTTAAAAAAATAGAAGCCTATTAAATAAATTTGACAAGTAGAGAAAGGAAGAACACAATGAAGAATTTAAAGAGAATAATGACCTATAATTCCTTAACAATCACTTAATATTTTATTATACTTCCTTTTTTCCTCTCTCTATGTGGAGGTATCTTTTTTTTTTTTTTAACCAAAATAACATGGTTGTGATCATGTTGATTATAGAGTAGGAAGGAAGACATTTTGTCTCTGAAGTTTCCCATATCTCCTGCTATTTAGTCACTTTCAATTGAAAAAAGCCAACCAAAATCAATTTCCAGGTGTTTGCTAAATGAAAGGTCTTATACTTTCTGTATCTCATTATGTCCTACATAAGACTTTATATTATTGTTTTCTAAGTTGGTAATTGCTTTAATGGAATTAATTTATACACGTTTTTAAATAGTGTTTCCCAAACCTAGTGTTTGGGGAACTTAGTGTTTCCCAAAAGGAAATACATATATCATTAGCGGCACAGGAAATGAATTTTGATGATAAACCACATTTAAATTAATAGTTAATAGGTCTTTAGTGTGTTATAGGAAAATGTAAGTAGCACGTAAAGACCATGATTTCATGGGTATTATTGCCTAGGATGACATTAAAGTGGGTGATTCTTTGTAAATTCCATTTTAAAATATTAACTATATCAATATGTAAATTTTATAAACTGCTTTCCAAAGTGGCTATACCATTTTACATTCCCTCCAGTAATGCATGAGGGTTCCAGTTTCTCTTCATCTTTGTCAACACTTAGAATTGTCTGTCCTTTTTATTATAGCCATTCTAGTGACTTTGTAGTAGTCATACATGCTTTAAATGAGAAAGTTAGTTCTTTTGCTGAGAAAGTATTTGGGGATAAATGATAGTAATTTTTAAATATGTATCATTTAGAAGTCAGAATATATTTATACTATAAGCTAGGACCAATGCGGACTTTATAGAGAAGCAAATTTTGGCTCAAAGTTAATCAAAACAAGCGCCGTGGACTATTGCAAAGTAGTAATGACCTTTTTATTGTATGCATTTAGATGCTGTATCAGTTAGTTCTTCAATTACAGTCAACCGAAATTGGCTGACTGACTTAACAAGAGAAGGGCTGTATTATAAGTATATGGGCTGATTCACAGAATCTAAGGAAAAGCCAAATAACTGGTACTTTAAAAGGGTAGGAAGCAGCTCAGCTCAAGGGTTCTAAGTAGCAGGAATCAATGGAAGTATCCCCAGAGAGCTACTGTCAAGGTGAATCAGCTCCGTTTACTGACCTTGTGTCACTGCACTCAAGATTCTAAGAGGAGAGAGTCTGCTTGGCCTCGTTTAGTTTACATGCCCACTCCTTCATCAGGAGAAGGCAGAATTGATAATCTCCCCAAAGTACATGTAGCAGGGTAGAAGAAATTTCCCAAGGTAATGAAGTGCCTTTACCAAAAGAAGGGGCTACTGGGTGCTGGGTAGGCAAAACCAATAGATGCTCACTATACCAGCTCACTACCGCTGATGAATATTTAGGGAGAAATAGTAGCAATGATAGGAGGCTTGACAAGTCTCTAAGGCCTATTCATTCCTTGAATATTTATTCGATGTTTCCTGTGATTTCTATGAAATCAATAACTATATTTCTTTAAACTCAAAATATTTACTTCGTTAGTCTAAAAAGTATTTTTACATAGTAAATATTCTTCAAATGCAAAAAAAAATGTTGCTTGTTTAGTTTTGGAGGGGAGAAGTATCAATTTCATTTTATTAAACACATAAACAGATTCCCATGGTAAACAGATTGATTAGACAGAGCAAAACTTCTGTGATTCCCCTAACTAGCCTCCATTGTGGCTCCATGCAGATCTTTTATACTCGTACAAATTATGTTCCTACCTGCATATGGACGTTTTTCATCTTTAAAAATAGTATTATATGTTGTTTGCAATTTATTTTTTTTACTCAGTATCTGGAGCATTATTCCATGACTACTGCATTTTAAAGAATGCTTTATAGTACTCCATAATATGAACATACCCTGATGTACGTTACCAGATGTCCCCTATTGACGGTCATGTAGGTTTCTTCTAATATATTATTTTGATGAATGTAATTGTTATGTCTCTTATAAGTATGAGCAAGTACCTTAAGGTAGATTGCTAAAATCATACTGTGATTAAGAGTACAGACCTTGGAGTCATACTATAAGGATTCAAGTTCCAGCGCTACTCTATACTGTACATTATTGGTGTTGCCCAATAGTTTTAAAGAAAATTTTCATTGACTTACAACATAAATTCAGAAGTGTAAACAGCTTGATGAATTTTTCAAAGTTAATATGTACATAGCACGTAAACCAAGAAATAGATAACACCAGCACCCCAGGAAGTCCCTTTGTTTGCCTCTTGAAAAATACTCCCATTCAGGGTAACCATATCATGATTTTTAAGGCCATATATTTATTTTGCCTTTTTAAAAAATCAATGTAAA